CTTTAGTAACACCTGGAGTAAATTAAGAAGCTCCTGCAGTATACAAAGTCATTCAAGCTAGCTGCACCTTTACACTTTAATGATCAATCATTATAATCAGAACATACAATATATATTATTCTGAAATGGTCCAATCTGCAGAATGACTACTTTTACTTTTGGTACTTTAAGTATATTTTGATGCTAATACTTTTGTACTTTTACTTGAGTGACATTTTGAATGCAGGACTTTTACTTGTATTAGTATTCCTACACTCTGGTACTTCTACTTTTACCAAAGTACAACATCTGAGTACTTCTTCCACCTCTGTCTGTTACAGTGAAATCATTCACCACATTCAGATTAAGGGGGAAACAATACAAACTGCCTGAGTGAGCTCTTAGCCCCTTTAACAGAAACAATTGTGAGTCCTTTTTTACAAGACATGATAGCTAATATTATCTCTCTATACTTCAAGCATCATATCTCTGTATTCAGGGTTTTGAAGTTGAGATATACCCCCAAAGAATGGAGGTGAGCTTGATTTACTAACAATGCTATTGTATTTACACCCGGGTACTTGTGTACTTTTATTTGATTAACATTTTTAATTGCAGGACTTTTACTTAACAGTAGTATTCCTACACTCTGGTACTTCTACTTTTACCAAAGTACAATATCTGAGTACGTCTTCCACCTCTGTATGTTACAGTGAAATCATTCAATCAACATATGTGAGTCCTTTTTAGACCTGATAGATAATATTATCTTCAAGCATCCTATGTCTGTATTCAGGGTTTTGAAGTTGAGATATACCCCAAAACAATGGAGGTGAGCTTGATTTAACTTTCTCTTTCGGGCATGAATGATGACACCAGCAGTCAATTCAGAATATTTGTATCAGTTATGTTTTCAAAAAAAGGGTTAATTTGACAGACTTTTCCTCCTGAAATGTTGAAAGCTAGTGTAATACCCAAAGTGAACAACTGAGGGAGACTCAGACAACTTCTTCAATACATTTTAACTGACTTTATAATCAACATTATTTCTATTACTATAATGTATTGTGTGTGTGTGTGTGTGTGTGTGTGTGTGTGTGTGTGTGTGTGTGTGTGTTCTGCTGTTTGTGGTGCTGCACCTGTTTTCATGAGCTCAGTGATTCCCAGCAAAGCCCCGCCCCCTCTAATCAGCAGACTAAGTGAAAACACCTGTGAGGTTCTGCAGGCTTTACTCACACTGTACCAGGCAAATATCACACACACACACACACACACACGTGCAATACATCCTACTTGTGTAAAAGTACGGACACAAACTCAACTTAAAGTAGTAATTCTGCTGAAGGAGTGGATAGGTGTATTACAGTAAAATATAACATGCATAAGTACACCCGGGTGTCCGAGGTCTCTTGGCTGAAGTAATCAGATTGATAATATTTATTTAGAAACACCCTGGAGGAATGTAGTGACAGATATTCAGTTTTCTGGGTCTAAACTATTAGGCAGATGCTATTTGCACCCAGGTGTCTGTAACAATGCTATTTGCACCCAGGTGTCTGTAACAATGCTATTTGCACCCAGGTGTCTGTAGCTAACAATGCTATTTGCACCCGGGCTACACATTAGATACGGTTTTGGATGTAACCTATAGGTATTTATGGAAATGTTTCTTTGATAACTTAATTCCCTTGTGCTGCTGCGTCACATTGTATTCCCCTATGGTGGATGTATGAAGGCAAATCTTATCTTAAAGGTCCCATGACATGGCCATTTCTACTGATCATATTTCCATTGTTGAGGTCTACTAGAATATATTTAAATTGTGCAATTTTCCAAACTCACATTGGTTTCTCACACAGCATCTCTGTGTATTCACTAGTGAACAAGCTCTCTGTCCTAAACGGCTTGTTGGAGTGTTGGAGCTTGTTTCTCTTTCTACGATGGCTTGGTAAGGTTACCTGAACATCAGGGACAAAAAACACCTGTGCTACATTGTGAACATGTCTGTAAGGTAATACATGTCCCATAGACCCCCCTGATGAAAGGGGGTTCATTAATCTGCCACAACAGTCGGAAAGAAGTTATGAAGATACCAGACAAAATACCACAACAGTAAACAGTAACTAAAAATAAATTATGTAATTGTGCCCCAATCAGTCTATTTTGTCATGGTTATGGGTTTATGTTGATATTTTCCACTTTTATTTTGAAAAGTGTTCACCCCCACGTTATGTCTGTTACTTCCTGTCTTGTCTAGTTTTACTTCCTGTCTTTAGTTTCCCTCCTGTGCCTGATTGGCTGATTGTGTTCACCTGTTGCCTGTGTTTCACCTCCCCTCTCCAGCTGTGTCTTGTCATGTGATTACCCTCCTGTGTATTTATTGCTTTCCCTTGTGTCGATCAATGTGACCTGCATGTTCCTGGCCGTGAGTTTGTTCTTGGTCCTTATTTCACCCGGTTAGTTTTTCTTAGTTTATTATCAGTTTATGAATAAAGCTCGCTTTTTGTTAAAACCTGGATTTGATCTACTATTATATTTTTATTTCTGTTGTACCTATGTTCACTTTGTTTTATGGGGTTTTATATTTTATATAATTGCATCGATTCAGGTGTCTTATCTGTCAGAGAGAAGCCAATATTTATTTTATTTGTATTATCATACATGTTACCTCTTGTCTATTAACCTGATACAATGTTATTTTGCTGCATGTACCTTTTTTTAAAGTTCTTAACAAATAATCTGAGGGGAATTTGTTTATTTTTAACTTGTGATGTGTCATTTTGTAAAGCACTTTGAGCTGCATGTGTTGTATGAAAAGTGCTATATAAATAAAGCTTTATTATTAATATTGAGTACAATTGTATTAAGTTGCTTTTCATAACTATTAACACATGTCCATTTTCTTTAATGAGTAATCCTAATGTCAGCTGGGAAAGAAAGCCAAGTTCAACTCCATACTCACAGCGTTTAATTAAGATAAACCGTGTAGGCCAAAGGGTTTCTGCATGCTGTTTGGCGGCTCTTTGATCCGTCTCTGATATGTGATATCCATGAACAGCACAGTGTGATCATGACAGGCTGAGAGGGGGGAAGCAGATGTACTGTGGAGATGATTCACTCGTCCACGTCTCCTCTCACTTCAGAGAGACTCTAATTGGCCGGGTGTCATCTAAATATGTCTGCAGTCTGCTGACTCTATCTAAAACAATATCCCTTGGCCGCACTTAGTCCCATTGTTCTTTATTTTTTCCGTCTTGGACTAAAAAAAGGCAAGATGTGTCTTTGCATAAACAAGGAGAGCTCGCTCCTTCCTGCCTTCCACCACCGCCATCCAGCCTCACCCTGGAAATATGCCGCTACGCCCTCAGGACAGTCGCAGTGACGTTTCCACTGCCTCCATCTGACGTTCACTTCGGAATCTTCGTATTCATTTACACTATTCCTGGATTTGTCTTCAAAAATAATGATGCAAGATCAACCCTACCATGACTGTATGTCATATCTGAATCTAGGGTACGTAATAATGGGATTATATTTGCACATTGAGTCTCTCTGCCCTCTCCTCCTGCAGTTTACTGTCATGGATTTCTCATATGTCAGTGAGCCTCAGGCTGATCTGCCATTGACCATAGTTATTTCCTCCGTAGTTACTGAGGATTTAAATAAATCTTATTTTAGCATCTCTGGTTTGATGCTTTATTCTAGGACAGATGACCAGAGCAACAACAGTCAGTTTAGAAGTATTCCGAATGCTGTTTACTTCTTTTAATACCAGAAATCCTCTAATCCTGGTCTGCATCATCGTACATGACTGTCATACTGTAGAGATACAATAAATAGGTGTATAAAAGTGCCATAACTTGACATTTAAGTCTGTGAAAAACATAACTGTAATACTATAAGGTTTCATAATAAGTGGGCCTTGATGTTACACTTGGTGTGAAAGAATGGGCCAGTGTCAAACACCAAACCACTACTTCGTTTTCAACTGTTTTGACACAATGGATCCCATGTTGAACAGTGTTTGTGTGACTAAGTGTAAGAAGCTGTGAAGACCATATTGTGACAGTGTGTCCCTTCTTCTCTGCTCCCCCTGGCAGCCTGCGGATCACAGTGAGGTTCGAGGCAGCGTCAGCACCGTCTGACTCCATCAGCAACGGCTCCAAGGATTCAAGAGTCTCTGTTTGACAGGAAATTAGGGGCTCTTCAAGGAGCAGGAAAGGTGCCAATACCCACAAAACACTGGCATGACAAGTCTTACAGTTTGCAGGACAATTGATTTGTTTGTGGGCTGTAAACAGTGTTCAGTTCAAATGTATATTATACTGCCATGACTTGAAGGCCTGGTGCCATCAGGGGTGGAGAAGATATCCTTTACTTTAGAAAAGAACACCATGAGAAACAAAACTCCTCTTTTAAAGACTTTAATTGAGGTAATAGTACTTCTAAAAGTTATTATTTGATTAAATAGTATTACTCGTGTTAAAGCAATAGTAGGATCTACAGTAGAAGCATTTGACCCAAAACTAATGATTATTTTCCAATTGAAATGTGATCAAAATTGCCCAAAGTTACACCTTTGGTCTTCTGGACCTCAGATTATTAAAAAAAAAGAATGCTAAATGATAACATATCTGTCAACCAATTACTCTTATTGTATAATACATGTTTTGTGTTCAATCTACTTTTGTAAATAAACTAATTCTGTGTAAAGTGACATATGTAATGTATTCACATAGAATATGTGAATACATTATTATTGTAATAATAATGTATTATTACATATAATACATGTAAAATAATTTACAATTATTTATGTAAATAATTCACATAATTCACATAGAATATGTGAATATGTGAATACATTACTCAAGTAAATGTACCTCCACCATTGTCACGTAAGCTACCCCACAGTAAGGCAAAGGACATCTACGATCCTCTGTTGGAAAAGTTGCTTTGACGACTTGTTTCTTCCCCATAGCAGTGGCTCTGATCACAGTAATAATGCAGGCTTCCCAGAGTTAATGTGGTAATGATTTATTGATGTTAAATGCTACACATAGCACCATTACATCCACAGTAAGGAGTCCCTGACAGGTTGGAAACGCCTGCTGTTTGAGTGAATATAAAACCGGAGGACTCGGAGAGGGCCACGCATGAGTGTTCAGTCATTTTCTTGCAAGATGTGTTTTTCACTTTTGTGATTGAAGAAATCCTTTATTTCAAAGGAAGAAAATAATACATTTGAAACAAGCAGACAAAGGACACGGGTCAAATCTGCAACACATACACCTTGTCCTGTTAGCTTTTGAAAGTTACTGTGGCTAAACAAAAGACAAAATTAAACTCTCCAACATTATATCCTATTCAACAAGTCTCAGTAGTATGGCACCATTTTCCGGCTGTCAGAGTCCAGTGTTTCGTGATGAGACTATTTACAATAAAAAAAGAAATCAACAAAGAAACGTGTTTTTAAAATAGTGCTTGAAACAAGTGACTTGACGTAAAACTATGTACATACCTGTATTTGTCAAAACTTGTTCGCCTTTTATATACACATATTTTTTTCACATTTGTTAATAAGTCACATCAATCATATTAAATATAGCAAACATTTCCGCGGTAGTAAAAAGAAAGGGAAAGAAACGAGTCAATTGGAATGACACGTAACCACATGTGTATCACATTTCAACATAAAACAATATTAATACCAATAGTAATGACATTATCTGAACGATTAAATGAAAATCTCTTTTCAGCATCTCAAAATATTTCTACTCTGCATCATTTTCCAGTCATTTGCTATGTACAAGAACACATTCAGACTTGTATTTTGCCAGTGGAGGTCTCTTTTAATTCTCACATTTGGTTTTTCAGTGTTTGTCCTTCTGTAACTGCTAGGAGACGCTGTGTAGACCTGGAAATACTGACCTGACATATCGCCAAGCTGTCTAACATTTGAAGGAAAAGTCTCACATTTTGTCAGGTGATTCAAATAAGGGTTTCTTTATTTAAAAGACTTCGTATTGGGTATTTTATTCAGCAAAAAAAGAAGTATAAGCTAATTTACAGACGTCTCTTTCCCAAGTCAATGGGAATACATCTGGGTGAGACTGATATTATTGGTTTATATATCAACTCACAAGAATATTTCCCGAAGATGAAACAAGCAACCGTAAATAAATAAATATTCATCCATTTTCTTTTCATGATTTATCACGTGATCTACAGATACAGTGATATTTAAGTACTTAAATTGTGCTTCCACTGGTAGTAGTATGGTAATAATAATAATAATACATTTATTTTGGGGGGTGCCTTTCATAACACCCAAGGACACCTTACAGGGCATAGGGGCAATATAGGGAACAATTAAAACAGTGGATTTAGTGAAGTATCAGCCGGGGTAAGACAAGACAGACAACAGGAAAGGGACTATAGAAGGACACAAAAGGACACAGGGTACAGTTTATAAAGAAAATGCCAGGTATGCCATGGTATTTGGGAGTATGTTATTTGCCCAGTAACACTCAATATTAACATAGTATATCTATTCTGTTTGTTTTTTGACTTTGACTGCAATATAAAATACAAAATGAATGGAGAGAGGAAATGACTCTGGATTTGGCTTTTATCGCTTGTTACCCTAATGATTAGAATAGTGGCTATAAAGTGTTTGTACTGGGTGGATAATTTAGCGGGGAAAGAATAATTAACAGACGTCTCTTTCCCAGTGTAAGTCAATGGGAAAAATACTATTTGGGCCCAATGACGATGAAGTGTAGGACCACTGTTTGGCCACACATTTGCTTCAATGGCCGGTGCTGTGCGTGGGGGCTTCGGGCAGACAAATATCAATAACTGTTTTCATATCTGCTCACAAGAATCTCTCCCAAAGATGTCAGACTTTTCCTTAAAACTGTCTGGTTGCAATCCCTCAAAAGAGACCACTGCTTAGCTAAGAGGACGACGAAGCATCACATCTTCAAAACAATCAAGAATGCTTACTTGCTGCAGGACATTATTAATAAATACAGAAAACAGACTAAGGAAGTCAGTCGAGCAAAATAAAATAAAGAAAAACTCCAGACGACCAAAACAAATTCAAGTGGAGAGAGATGGAAATGATGCTACTAACAATTATAGAGTGTTTGTGCTTGTGAGGACATTAACCCATCACCTGAAATGTGTCTCAAAATAATAAAAGTAAACGCAGACAGGTCCATGGAGCATCAGGAGCTTCAGAGATAAACACGTTGTTATCCACTAAACATCTGCATTATAAGGTGGGTGCTTGAAATAAAGTGCAGGATATTTCGAGCCATAATGTCCATATTCTAGACTTTTTTTTCAAACAAATATGGATTCATCTTCTTCTTGACGAGTTCAACAAATAAATCACTGAGAGATTACATTCTTGTAGCACGGAGGAAAACTATGAGAGATGCCATGGATTTGCTCTGACAGGGATAAAGGGGGGTTTATAATGCGTTCAGATACAAAGCAAACCAATTGACTGTAAAACTATATTTAAATAAAGGAAATCTGAAAAGCCACAATAATCACTGCATTTGATGTTTTTCAGATACTAATAATACTCTGTACATTCATGAATTGGAGATGGACCACCACCTGTCTGCACTGTGGTTTCTCTGCGCCAATTGATTAATTGGCCTTTAAGATTTCAGAAAATTAACATAATCAGATTCGTACATGACTTCTCCAAATGTAAATTCAATTTAGTTCCATAAAGGTGAAAGAAAACCAGCAAATGCTTATATTTGAGGGGCTGGAACAAGCATGTGTTTAGCTGGTTTTGGTATTTTTGCTGTTAATTGATTTATCCCTTTATCTAAAGAAAAGTGATATTTATTTACTTAAAGGGGACCTATCATGCAAAATGCACTTTAGTACGTCTTTTATACATGAATATGTGTCCCCGGTGTGTCAGGGAACTCACCAAGTGTCAGAAAACACAACCCTCTCTCTTTTCCTCCATACCCAAATCTCTAAAAACGGGGCTGCAACGGATCTGATACAGACTGATCCAGATTTGAAATAGTTCTGACGTCAGAAACGGGGAGCTCCGCCTATATGGGCAACTCTCCACCTATCAGGGGAATGAGAGGTTGCGTGGCATGGTAGCAGCATGGTAGCAGCATGGTAACATGACGCTCGTGCCTTGCCCCCCTCCTTTGCAGGGGGGCGTGGTCAGCTGCAGCTCATTTGCCACAGAATCAGCCCTTGCAGAAACAGGGCTGGAATAGAGCAAATAGAGCGAAATGAGGCATGGCTAAAATGCATGATCTGTTTGGTATTTTGAAAAAAGAACTTCACAGACATGTTTTATATAGGTATGGCCCTACAATATATGTTTCAAATATAGCATGATAGGTCCACTTTAAAAACTTGGCTTCCACTGCTAAACTGGAATATGCCCTTTGTACAGTAACACTCAATATTGACCCAGTATATCTGTTATTTGTGATTTACACATACAATTTCAAACAAAAACCTACATGAAATGACGAATGTGTTTTCAGATTGAAATATAGAATAATGCACATGTTTGCCTCCAACTCTAAATTCCTGTTGCATCCGAGTGCAGATTTGTGAAACTCATCTTTAAAAACTCTCTCCGTTTTACTTCACATAAACTCAACTGAGCACTCTTGACTGCATTATTGTAAACAAAGGACTCGTATGATAATATGACTTGAAATACAACACAATGACCCCCCCCCCCCCCCTCACACAGACACATAACATATTACAAATTAGAAATGAAAGAAAGAAAACAGAATCAAACAGGCCTACGTTTGTTCAGCTCTGTTGGTGGTGTACTCTAGGTGTGTATAAGGCTGGTCCAGTCTGTGTGTTTCTGGCCGTTCACAGAGTGCTGCTCAGCGGGTCAGAGGTAAGCCGGTGGCTGGGGGGGTCGGGGAGGCCGGACAGAGTGTCAGGGGGCATCTGGACAGCAGGGGGCGCCACTCCGTTTCTATTGGGCAGAGCAATGCCTGCTGGGTAAGTGTTGTTCAGGATGCAGCCGTTCTCCATCTGTAGGGAGAGAGAGGAGACATCATGAAACACACAGCTGGAGGAGAGCTCAGATCCTACACTTAATAAGTTGATTTAGTATAGCACCTTTCACAGAAATAGATTTCACAAAGTGCTTCACAAGAAAGAACAACAGTTCAAATGAAGACCACAGAAACATGAATACAATAACAACATGAGGCAGAAGTAGAATAAGTAGAAGTAGCAATGCTAAATTGTTCAAATAAAGTATTGGGATTAAAAAAATACTTAAGTATCAGAATCAAAAGTACTCGTTTAGGATATTCGTCCAATTCAAAATCAATTGTATGACACACTGGATTGTAATTATTGATGCATTCGTGTTTATCATAGCTGGTAAAGGTGGAGCTAATTTGAGCTACTTTGTTTGAACCTATAATCTTATGTCAATTATGTAATTGATTTATATTTGGTAATATTTTGAGTATGTAAAGTATGAGGTGAGTAAGAGCAGAGGTATACATTTGCAAAATACTTAAAGTAGAATTTGTGAGTACATCATTACGTCCCATTAATGAAATGACAACATACAGTTATATGTGGAATAAGTGAAAGCAATGTCAAAACAAAACGTCTAAATTGAGCCTGTATTATGTAGGTTTTACATTAAAATATGTATATTTGTATTGGAAGAATGACAGAAATCAAACGTATCATCAGAAATTGTAAGTGTAGGACTCCTGAGATGTCTTGTGAGATGTTAAATCGGAAGGGTCTGTCAGTGAGGAACATCTCTGAACATGTCACGGCTGTCTGCCCGTTACATTTTGAAGATATCATGTTTGAAATGATGACAGATCTCCCTGCAGGTAGCTCAGCTGGTGATACGAGGCCAACCGTTGAAATACAAAGGTCAGAGAGAAACCATTATGACTCATCCTCTGCGTGTCATGAATATTCACAGCACATTGGACAAGAAGATGTCATTATCTGTCACTTCCTCAGAAACCAGTGCAGATCAAAGGAAATTCTGCATATTGAAGCTTTTACCAAATTCCACTATGTCTTACTCAAAAGTCAAAATAATTGTATGAAAATCAAAGTCAAATTGCAATAAAGTTTAAATGTATATTCATGATCCCCAATTTCTCTCTTTATTGTTTGCAAAACATCAGAAAAAATGACAATTGAATCTCTTGTTTGGTTCGACCAACAGTCCACAACTCAAACAGATTCAATTTAATATATTGTTAAACCTAGAATACTAACAAACTATCACATTTTAGAACATGGAAACACTAAATGTCTTGAGAAATGATACCCGTTCATTTAGTTTGATCAGTTTTCTATTAATAGTTGAAACTCTAGACAAAACTACTGGACTGAGCCCCAGAGGAACAGTAAGAGGGTGGCCAACTAGGAAGGATAATCATAACAATGCATGATCATTTAAAAAACATCTCCTGAACTCTATAGGTCCTTTGACGGTTGGATAATATAATAATCCATGTTTGACTCAGAGTTTCAGCTCAAAAGCATCAAAGGCAACATTTGTACCGTTTACTATTTGATACAGACGCTTCCCAAAACCTACAAAACAAACATCCATGCTCAAACCTAATCACCATGTCAGTGTTTCAGCGTCCTCACCTTGTTGGGGCTGGGGTCATGAGGGATCTCGGGGGTCACCATGTCGTAGGGGTCCAGCTGCCGGCAAGGCTTGCCCACCCCCAGGATCTCCTCCAGGGAGGCGTTGGGGGGCGGGCACTGCGACAGGCTGGAGATGACCTGCGCCAGAGGAACTGGGATCTGCTCTTGCTGCCGCTTGTGGTTCATCCCCTGGAAGGATGGCACTGTGGACTCGGCCCCGTGCTGATGTCCGCTCCTCCCAAACAAACTGCTTCCACTGATAGCGTAATCCACATTGTCCATATCAGGCAAACTATAATCTATGCAGGCATCCAGCGAGGTGTTTGTCGGAGGTTTTTGGCCGTTATCGAGGCAGGAGGTGCTGCCCAGACCCTCGCTGAACCTGTAGTCCTGCCACTGGGATTTTCCAGCCGAGTGGGCCTTGCTGGAGTGGCCACACATGCCGTTAAGATTGGCGGGCTTGGGTTGCACGTGGCACTGCTGATGGTTCTGCACCCTGGGCTGCTGGAGCTGCTGCTGCTGCTGGAGGAAGAGCGGATGCTGATGCAGCTCTCCCTGCAGCTCTGTGGCCTTTCCATTGAAAATAGTCTGTTGGGTTTTATAGTGTTGTATCCCTGCATTGACTAGAATGTCTGTGGCTGTCCATTGTCCATTTCTGATTGGTGGATTTTGCCCCATCAGGTCTCCGTTTACTACCGTGTTGTTAGCC